CCAGTTGCAACAGCAAAACGGCATCCTGGACGTTTGCATGAGTTTTTCATGACTATGTTGAAGCAAACTTTGTTATAGATGCTTGCAAGAGCCTAAGACCTTTAAAAAACACTAAAAAGCACACTGAAAACGGACAAAAATGGATAAACCGAGTGTTATAAACTGAAACTAGTCTATACGTGAAAAACAAAAAAAACCGAATAGTAAGCTGAGGTAAAACCACAGGTATCTATTAAATATGGTGAAACTCAAAAAAAATAGTAATCTACCGAATGTATAGCTCAGGATAGATTCTTTAGAACTGAAATGGTACTTTTGTTGCATAAGAACACAGCAAAAGTTTGATAAATGCAAATCACGTTAGTACTAAACTTCCCGTTCGAAAAGCGCGGACGGAATAGAAGAAGCTATCGCTTAATATGCTTCCATGTCTAGTATTAGCGGATCACCGATACCTCCAGGGAGGAACCTAGGTATATTAACGATAACAGAGGAAAAGTAACTTGGTAAATTATAGTAAGATGTTATCCTTAGTCCTTGAGAATAGGTCAAGCTTCCTCTCAAAGGACCCCTTGGAGATCGCTCGGACTAGCTCAACCAGTAGTGTATTACAGCTGAAGATGGCACAGGTATTCAGTGTTTGACAACGCTTTTACCAGTAACACCTTCTAATATACTTTGTTCCCACCGAGAGAAATCAAAAGACAGAGTCGAGGAGATCGGAAGAGTGTATTTGGCGATAACCAATATATCGGAAAATCTTTGATCTAATCTGGCTAGCGATAGCGGTAGATGTTGAGCACAGCGTTACCACACGTGATCTGGTGTGAATGCACGACCGAGCGCCTTCAGTTAGATGAGTCCACTAAAACATATGGTCAGCATCCAATGTCGGAAACTTACAGAGCTATTTAGTTTGTGGATTTATTTACCGCTACAGATCACTCCCCCCCTAGTGCGGTAGTGATGACCCTAAGACGTGGCCAGTCAGAAGTTTAAACCCAACGAGTTTGTCGTTGGTAAACACTCTTCTGATAGCTTGCTAGATTTAGCAGCGTCTGGTAGTCTTTTCTTACTACATGGGACCGAGGTAGAACATAGTTTAAAAAAGTACAATGAAAATTTCGGCTCCTCGTAAACTGCATCGTTCTTTTCCAGCCGTCCTGGAAAAATGTGCATGTCGAAATACACTCGTATGTGTGTAAAAACACAATGTCGGCAAAAAAATGGAAAATAAACTCAAGCACACGCGATAGCGTTAAAAAAATTTTATGCTTTTTTTTAAACTAAAATATAAAGATATAAGCATATTAAAAAATTTTTAAATATTATATATCGTGAAAAGAAAGATCGAGATAATATAAAATGTCGAGTAGTGCCTTACGTGCAGTCGTCGTTTAAATGTTATGGAAATCTTACTCTTCTTCCAGAACGTGTCGTTTTAAGTTTATTTTCAGACACATTCGGAGTGTCATCGCTAGTGTTGGTTGTTGGTTGAGGAATTATGAGTGTAGAAGTCGTGTTGTGCGATTTTACCGAAAGGAAATCGACGTGAATAGGATTTCCTTCTAAATACGCTGCTTTTAAGCGATCAATGCTGATGCTATCGTCTGTTCCGTTCTTATCGATTATATAGTACTTAGTTTCGCGTTGAAGAACTTTAAAAGGTCCTTCGTATGCTGATACGAATGGTCGTCGATGTGCGTCTCGACGAATGAAGACGTGTGTACTATATCGTAAGTCAGGTTGAACGAAAACATCGGTGGATTGTGGTCGTGTGGAAACAGGTTTAACTGAACGCATTGCGTTTGTAATCCATGTTCATTGAAGAGGGTGAAGGATCCACGAATTCTCCTGGAAGTCGAAGTGTCGTTCCATAAACGTGTTGAGCCGCAGTGTATCCAATGTCAGCTTTCATTGCATTGCGGATACCTAGTAGGACGAGTGGAAAAGCGTCGGTCCACTGTGAAACGTTTACAGCTGATAGTGAAGCTTTTAGTTGTCGGTGAAAACGTTCTACCAACCCGTTTGCTTGTGAATGGTAGGCGGTCGTTCGGAAGCGAGTGACTCCTAATAGTGTGGTCAGACGACGGAAAAGTTCAGACTCAAACTGACGTCCGCGGTCTGTAGTGATGGTTGAAGGGCAACCGAAGTTTGCTACCCATCGTTCTTGATAGGCACTGCTTCTGGCCATCGAGTGAAACGGTCTACACAGGTTAAGAGGTAAGAGTATTCATTTGAATCTGGTAAAGGTCCTACCAAATGCAGATGAACATGGTCGAAACGAGCATCGGGAGTGTTAAATGAGCCTAAGGGACATTTATTGTGTCTGATGACCTTAGATTTTTGGCAGCTCGGCGAGTTTAAGAAGGTCGATTCCTTGAAAAAACTGTTCAAGGAAGTTATGCGAGATAAGGCGTCTGCAACTACATTGTTTGCTCCAGAGATGTGTTGAATGTCTGAAGTAAACTGCGAAATGTAGTCCAGTTGTCGGGACTCACGGGGAGAGTACTTGTCTGAAGTAGAGCTTACAGAGAAAGTGAGCGGTTTATGGTCCGTGAAAAGAGTGAATTCACGGCCTTCGATATAGTGTTGAAAATGCCGTACAGCACAATACATAACTAGGAGTTCCCTACCGAATGTGACGTACCTCGAGAAAAATGCCAACGGTTGCCCGAAGTTGTTAACCCATTGTTGTAAGACTCCTCCAATTGCTCAGTCGGATTCGTCTACTGCGATACTAATGGGTGCGCGGATGTCCTGACGTGCAAGCATTGCTGCTATAGCGATGAGTTCCTTAATTGTGGAGAATGCTTTTCGTGCGGTGTCGTCCAAATTAATGTATTTCGCATTTCCACGAAGTTGGTCGGTTAGAGGTTTCATAAGTAAAGTACACTTAAGTACGAATAGTCTATAGAATTTTACAAGGCCGTTAAACGTTCGTAGTTGCTTGATCGTGGTCGGTTCTGCGTAATCCAGAATTGCCGCCACTTTGGTCCTAAGGGGTCGAATGCCTTGAGGGTCTATAGTGTGTCCTAGGAAGTTTAATGAGTCGGTTCTGAATTGGCATTTCTAAACGTTTACAGTAATGCCATGTTTTTGTGGTCGTTCGAAAACAAGATCCAGATGCTTGAGATGTGATTTTCTGTCCGGAATTGCGATTGTACAGTCGTCAACATACGCATGTACGAAGTTGAGACCTCGAAAAACGTCGTCTATGAATCTTTGGAAAGTTTGAGCAGCGTTTCTTAGACCGAAAGGCATTCGCAAAAATTCATAGAGTCCGAAAGGAGTAATGATGGCGGTTTTCTGAATGTCGTTTGTAGCCATCGGGATTTGGTTGTACGCTTTAAACGAGTCTATTTTCGAAAAAACAGTTGTACCTTTCAAGGTAGCTTTCAAATCGTGAATGTGAGGCAACGGGTAACGATCGGGAATGGTTTTTGCATTCAATCGCCGATAGTCACCCGTTGGACGCCAATCGTTGCTGTCATTTTTGGGGACCATGTGCAACGGAGATGCATATGGGCTATTTCCCGGCCGTATGATTCCTAAGTCTATAATGTGATTGAACTCGTTTTTCGCTAACCTTAGCTTTTTCAGGAGCTAGTCGTCGTGCTTTAGAGAATACAGGTGGTCCTGTAGTCGTGATGTGGTGTGTAACGTTGCTGGTTACACACGGTAGTTTCTGTTGCGTTTGATGAATCCCAGGATACTTATCGAGTAGTGGTTGATAAAGTGGGTCTATCGTATGTTTAATTGTGACTGGGGATAATCTGAAACCAGTAAAAGAAGTTACGCAAACGGATAAATTAGTGTTTCCGTCTACTAGCCTCCGTTTGCGCGTATCGATGATTAGATTATGGTGTTGTAGCAGGTCCATACCAATGACACAGAAACATCTGCAACAACGAAAATCCAGTGAATGGGTTTGCGTAAACCCACGTTAAGGTAAACGTACCTTTTGCCATACGTAGCGATCGGTTTTCCGTTTGCCGCCTGTAAGTTTACAGCCGATTCGTGAAGACGGTCGTCAGGATTTGCTGGGAGAACGCTAACTTCTGCGCCAGTGTCGACCAGGTAGCGAACTCTCGTTGTCACATTTGTGACGTACAACAGACGGCTATGTTCATCGGCTACGGTTGCCGTTAACGCGTGCCGGCTTGAAAGTTTCCCGAGTTGTTTTTCGAGTCAGTCAGTTTCGTGTTAGGAAAATTGCAAGGTTTTCTGCAATTTCTGGAAGACTTTCCATACCGGTTATGATACCAGCACCAGTCGGGGTTATCCGTCTCTCGTGGTCTAGAGACACATCGCTTACGTGAAATCCTTCTACGTTGGTGTGTGATCGCTTACGGTCGTTACGAAAATTAAGATATTGCGTAAGTGTATGACATAACCGAGCACCTTCAGCTAGATGAATCCACTAAAACATATGGTCAGCATACAATGTCGAAAACTTACATAGCAATTTATTTTGGGGATTTATTTACCACTACAAGAGGTTCGAAGATATATTTGATGGAATATCGTTATATCGAGAGGTAACTAATCTAAGCTGATTAGTGGTTGTGGGAGATGTGGAGCTAAGAGTACCCACTTGTGATATGGTGCGGATGGGTGACTGAGAGCCTTTAGCTAGGTGAGTCGAAGACTTACAGCGTTATTTATTTTGATAATTTATTTACTACTACACGAACACTTCGAGTAATAAATATCTGGCTAATACTTATTCATCTTTACATATCGATTATGAATTCAGAGAGGGGATTATTTTTTACATTTTTTATTTTTCAAACGTAAGTAAAGACCATTTTACCGTATTTGATCACTACCAAATATCAGTGATCATTGAACAACGATTTCACTTCAAGATATCTAGGGAAGAAATCACGAGAAAATAACCCATTTTATTGATCCCATAGCTTTGAAACCTAAAGTGAAAGTCAGTTAGGTGATTAGTTTTACTTCGCAATTCATCCATACATGTAATTGTTTAAATTCACACATGTGAATTTAGTCGCGTAGTCTTAACGCGGATCGGCCACATGGGTTCATTTGATGCTTATGGTCCGAATTCGCAAGCCTTAACGTTCTTCGACCCTGAAGAGAATGATTTAATTGGAGGAGATACACAGGGACCTGATTATGACTGTTCTGATTTCACTCTGCCTTCACAGTCTCAAACACAGGCATCTCAACTTGACCCTGATAAAAATTGCTTCTCTCAGCAGGTATGTTGGTACTCTAGTTAGTCTTCTATGTTATCAGCATGATGGGTACAACACCATTGATGTACTGTCGCAACGTGTTGCTGACTTGGACTTCAAGGATGAGGACATAGATGACTCTAGTGTCGACTTACCAGAACACGCTTGTGCTTACTGTGGTATTCATGACCCTGCTTGTGTAGTATTTTGTAACACCACGAAGAAGTGGTTTTGCAATGGTCGAGGCAACACTTCAGGGAGGTTAGTCAATTACGTATATTATTCTGTTCAGTCATATCATCAATCATCTTGTTAGAGCTCGTGCAAAAGAAGTTACTTTGCACAAAGACGGACCTTTAAAAGATACTCTATTGGAATGCTATGTATGTGGGTCTAAAAATGTATTTCTGCTTGGTTTTGTGCCGGCGAAGTCTGAGTCTGTCGTCGTGCTTCTGTGTCGTAACATCTGTGCTAATGCCAACAAAGACATGTACTGGGATCCTGCTCAGTGGCAACCGATAATTCAAGGACGTCAGTTTCTTGCTTGGCTTGTGAAAGTTCCAAGTGATGAACAGCAAGCAAAAGCTCGTCAGATATCGGCTCAACAAATAAACCGACTGGAAGAAATATGGAAAGAAAATCCTCAGGCGGCAGTCGAGGATCTAGAAAAACCCGGTGCAGATAACGAAGTCAACCCAGTGCTGTTAAGGTAAGCTTTACCCCCGAGCTCCTCATCTCTTAAAGATATGAAAATTCACAGCAGTATCGGGATGTATTCATACCTTTAGTGGAATTAGAGGCTGACTACGACAAAAAGATCAAAGAATCGCTGAAGTTGGAGAATGTTTCCGTTCGCTGGGAAACTGCCCTTAACAAACGCCGGGTGGCTTACTTCCGGATTCCTGGTGCTAACGAAGGTACATAAATTATTAATATTTCAAGTTTTCTCATACATTACACCTGGATTTTTAAGTTCTCAATCATATTTATAGTTGTTTTTAAAATAGCTTACGAATAAAACTACAGGCTTTCCAGTATCATACTGGCAATACATGGCAACGAGGTCTTCGGGTCCGTACAGCGAATCGCTCTTATGTACTAACATGGTCCTTATGATTTCAGAGCATTTCGTGAAGCTAGTTTTATAGAATAAAGTGAATGCTTACTGTAATCTGTAAATCTTTCACACTAACTTTTGCCGATAGTGATTATCCGATTGGTTGGTGTATGCATTCTTTGAATGTATTTACTTTGTGTGTGCTGAGTAATATTTGCATATGATTTTGATATATCCACTAATACATCATATTACTTTCTAGGCCCAGAACTGCGTATTATGCATGGGGATGAATTGATCATTCGTCAATTTAACAGTCCAAACGACTATTTGGTTGGTGATGGTCATGTTATCAAAGTGCCTGACAGTAAGTTTGTGCATCATATGACATATATATATATATATATATATATATATATATATATATATATATATATATATATATATATATATATACGAACTTAATACAGGTGTATATTACCATTTGCATAGTCATTTTGTGTCTAACCGTACTTCCGATTTTATTCGTATTCCCCCTAAAGATATGCTTCGGTTTGGGCACCCGGGCAGCATCACAGCCCTCACACATATCGAATGAGATTTGTGTGGCGCATATGTATATGGTGCCTCTTTGTACCATTATCTCTGTGTTGAAATAAATAAATAAATAACAAGTTAGTGAGGATGACAATAATTTATGTTGTATGTAAATAAACTGGTCATTAGGTGTTTTGATCATTCGGTGACAGTGAAATCGGAACATTACAGAGAAAGTTAGTATGGCTTTTACGCAAGGATGATATGGGGAATCATGAACTTCCTCTTGTATAGTTCTCAGTAGCGCAAGTGCATTCATTGTTTTCCCTTAGGTCCTACGTTTCTAAATATCGTCCAAATTTTCTTGTTTTACTAATTCATATTTTATCGAATTGTATCTTCGATGGCCATTTCTGTTTCCACTAATACTGTTACAGCCTCTACTACCGAATTTACCCTAACAATTTCATCTCTGTGCTAATGGGTTATAACGGCTTATACTGGTGTACGTATTTACCAAGTTCTATGTTCCTCATAAATAGCTAACTAAATTCTATCATTTTGTTGGTATCTGTAAATTTCAGATGATAGAGTGGCTTGAATAGATTTAAATATCTTCTGAAAATGTCTCACTTGTTCTGAGGTAATGCAATTAGCTTTTATTTAAAATACCGTCAAAAAATCATACTACATCAAATTTAAGTTCACTCGCACACGCGTTTGGCACTAATTACCATCTCCAAAATAATGTTGAGGTATCCATTTCATATCATCACTAGGTTCCGCTGTTAACAAAAGAAAATCCTTGTGTCATCTAAATATTGGACTGGTCAAAATGTGGATGGGTATATCTTCTTTTTGTTAGACTGTACGCTTCCCATGGTAGATCGAAAACGATAATTGTCTGTAGACTTTTTCGTAGGTTATTACTATCTTCGTACCTATTAGTAACTTGTGGAAGATAGTGGTCACAATAACTCACAAAGTTGCCTGAGGATTCTCGTGGGGTTTACCAAAATATACTTAGAAGTAAAGATTCCTTTTTATTTGACTAGTTTCAGTGCCGTTTATTTGTAGATGTAGGTAAAGTATGGCTACATAAATTCTACATTATATCTGCGACACATTACGTTTTAGGATATTGCTCACATCTGCTGGAATCACCGGGTGAGTATTAGTGGGGATAGACGCAGCGTATTAGGGAATGATGGTGAATCAGTCTATGAAGTTGTGAATCTTCATCAACTGAGATGGTTGGGCCATGCGTTGCATATGCCTGAACACCGTTTACCACGGCGCACAAAGCCGACTAGTGTTGGAGATGGTTGAAAGAAAGTTATGGGTGACTAAATCAAAATGCGGTATCAGTGCTTGAAGTCACTAAATTTCTTTTATATATTACTATCAATAAAGTAAATATGAATTAGTTCATCTTGTGTTAATGAGGCTTGGCAACTTGGACCGATGCACATAGGTGCCTGGTCCTACGTTGTAACTGACTGACAAACCGATGTACATACGTACCAGACTCTACCTTATGACTGGCTGTGATGTGGATGCCAGTATATTACGGCATTGAAATCTTTTACCCAGTGGTTAAAAACTGGGTCTAGGTCGCAGACCCTAATAGTCTCATCTTGATTTTAATCGGTTTCAGACGGTCGTTTTTAACCGTTCCTAAAATAAGGTTTTTGATGCGACTGAATTGTGTTTCATTTCATTATGCTATTCTAATGAGACAAAAATATGAAGTAGATTTCGTTTATGTACTTTTCATCTCTTCAATAAATTTTACCAGACAATATAGATTTAGACATTTATTCAAGTGTATTTATGATTTCACTACAAGGTGACACTTCATATTTTCTCCTTAGATTTCAGTGATGAAGTCGGTTTGGAAATGAAACAAGTCATTGATACACCTCTAGAACCTGTGACGTACAAAATCGAATTTAAATGGAAGTCAACTCCATTCGATAGAATGCGACGAGCGATTTCTGTCGTTACCGACGAACAACACGGTTTATTACCACCATATATATTCTACCGATTGCTTGGCCAAGAATTAGATGATATGGTGTTAAAATGCAACTTACCTAAACGCTATTCTGCACCAGACTTACCGGAACTAAATCACAGCCAAGTGTTTGCCGTCAAAACAGTTCTCCAACGTCCACTTAGTTTGATACAGGGTCCACCTGGAACGGGTAAAACTGTGACGTCTGCATCAATAGTTTATCACTTGAACCAAATACATCAAAAAAAGGTATTGGTTGTAGCTCCTAGCAACACTGCAGTCGACCAGTTGTGCGAAAAGATTGATCGTACCGGATTAAAAGTTGTGCGCCTATGTGCAAGATCTAGAGAAGCTCTAGCATCTCCTGTCAGCCGTCTTATGCTACACATACAGGCCCAAAATGTGAAAGGTCATACTGAACTCCGAAAGTTACAACAATTGAAAGATGAGACTGGTGAACTGAGCCAGGATGATGACAAACGTTATCGAATTCTAAAACGGGAACTTGAACGTAAGTCACGAGTTTTAACAAAACTGTACTATGTGTGAACTGTTGGGGCTAGGAAATACTGATTATCACAATTAGTTCCTTTTGTACAAGCGCTAATAAAACTTAAAAAATATTTAATCACATTAATGACATATATATATATATATATATATATATATATATATATATATATATATAAATCGTCAGATTTTGTGGAGATTGTAGTAATTTAATAGTTCAATTCACCGGTCGATTAAAATTACAGCACCATGGAAAATCTAGAAGCACTCGAGGTCGTTCCGTCCTAGTGTGGGACTCCTTAACAGTGTGCATCCACGATCCGTCCTCCAGCGCTCCCAGGTTTTCCATGGTGCTCTAGCTTTAATCGACTCATGAATTCAACTATTGAAATGTATATGATTATTGTTTATTTGCTTTTTATTTACTTGAACACATGAACGTAGGCACAAGGAGGCACCGAACAGATATGCGCCACATAAACCATTTGATTTGTGTGAGAGCTGTGGTACTGCCCATGTCCCCAAACCGAAGCAAGTGGTTTTCTTAATGGGCCACGCCCCGAGCCCTTGACTTAAAGGTCTGATCCACAAGGTGGTAGAGCAACGTAAGGAGATGCAGTCCTATGGAAGCCGGTGACCAACCATTGGTTCATACGCCATTTGTTCCTTCAGGATCCTGGAGCCCATGTGCACAATTGGTTTGGAATCAGGGTTTTCCAACTTCCCTAGGTGGACCTTCAATATCCAACAACTTGGTTAGAGCGCCGGACATTCGCTTTTGGTCCTCTCAATTTCGTAAACAATAGTAATGGCACGAGAATGCAGTGAATGAGACTTTCCTGACAGTGGTTGTATGCACTTGGCCTTGTGAAAGCATTTCGAGGGGAAGAGCTCACTCTTTCCATGTTGCCCGTACCAGGGCATTTGGGGGTTATAGTTATTATTATTATTATTAACTGTTTATTTCCTGTCAGAAAACGCATTGGTATTGTCTGTGGCGTTATGTAAACAAGCGTCATTTTCTGTATTTAGTTGTCTAATAAGTGTTCTGTTTTTCTCATCAGGAGAACTCCTTATGGCAGCTGATGTAGTTTGCTGTACATGTGTAACTGCTGGTGATGCACGTTTGGAGCGCTTAAGTTTTCATTCCGTTTTAATTGATGAGTCTACCCAGGCTACTGAACCAGAGTGTCTAATACCATTAATGGTAGGATGTCGCCAGGTTGTTCTAGTTGGTGATCATTGTCAGTTGGGACCTGTAATTACGTGTAAAAAAGCTGCTAGCGCCGGATTAACTCAGAGTTTGTTTGAGCGATTTGTTCTGCTGGGTATTCGACCTATACGTCTACAGGTACGTTGGATGTTTTGAATCATGCATCTTCATTGAAACAAACGCTTGTTTTTGCACGTTTTAAATTCCGAATGTACCAAATGAAATAACAGTTTTTTCCACACAGTAGTCGTTTACATTTTAAGTCAGTCGGCTACAGCGTAGGACCAGGCACATATATGCATCAGTCCAAGTTGCCATACCACATTAACACAAGATGGACACCGGATTCATAAAAATAGTTAATTCAGAGGTGATAATATATAAAAGAAAGATTGCAATAAGGATATAGTACAGGAAAAAAGAATTAGTTGGTAGAAAGAAAGATATGAAGCGATTTTAATCTCTTAGTTCAAGGGAAGACAGAGAGTGTATACACCGACGCCATTGTGATCGATCCTGAGCCATGTCACCAAGAGTCGCCAACCATTGGTTACGATAGTCACGCGGACCCCAACCAAGTAGTCTGCATCTACCAACATTACTCAGACTAGAAGTTAGTGTCTTCAAGCACTGATGCCACGATTTGGTTTGGCCGCCCCCAGCTTTCTTCCAACCATTCCAACACCAGTTAGCATTGCATCTCATGGTAATCGGTGTTCAGGCATACACAGCACATGGCTCAACCATCTCAGTCGATGAAGATTCACAACCTCATCAACTGATTTATCATCATTCCCTAATACCCTGCGTCTAACCTCACTATTACTTTTAAGATGGCAAGCTGTTTCGATTCTGTATTGTATTTGAATTTCCGTAGCTGCCGATATCTAATTGAAGTACAGGCGCTTCATAAATAAAATGGTTAGACGGTTTAAAACACCTGTAATAAGTTACAGTAATCATCCGAAGTTCTCGCTCGTTTCGAAAGGCAGTGTGTTTAATGCTGTCGCTGGAACTGAGATTTATGAGCTTAAGGATTCCAGAGGTTTACTGACCCGTGTTGGTTATCACGATTTTTATTCAACTAAGCCACTGAATATATCTAGCATTCTTTTCCACTCAATAGATCTCGACAATCCCAAAACTTCAGCATGTAATGTACTAAAGTGTAAGCAGTTAGATTAGATACTTGGGTTTCGTCCCGTCTATTTAGTCAGGCATCACTAGCTCTGACGCAAAAGCTTAACTAAGTGAGAGAAAATACATTCAACTGCTAACTTCTGTCATCGTGCGTTTGCTTGTAATAATATATTATAAATTGGAATAAAGAATATAAAATACAGATCTTATAGCTCATTGTTTCAATTAATTTCTACTTGACTTCCAAGTAATATCATAAAGAGCATATTCCAATCTGATTGTTTGGTACTTCTATTGTTAAGGTCCAGTATCGTATGCACCCCGCTCTTTCGGCCTTCCCAAGTAATGTTTTTTATGAAGGTAGTTTGCAAAATGGAGTGACAGCAGAGGATCGTTGCAAAAAGATCGATTTTCCATGGCCAAATCCAGACAGGCCTATGTTTTTCTACTGCACATCTGGACAGGAAGAAATATCCGGTAATGGTGTATCATACCTAAATCGAACAGAGGCAGCAACAGTTGAAAAAATCGTCACAAAGTGAGTTAACTTGAAGCTTTTTTATTTGTAATTTTGTCAGTTTCTATGAAACATAAATTGTTCCCTATAAATTTAACTTATTTTGTTGTAGTAAGAGCGTTTATTGTCATTTCATTTTATTTGTGTGTGGGCTGTGATACTGCCCGGGTGCTCAAACCGAAGTAAGTGGTTTTCTTAGGAAGCCACACCCGGAGCCTTCGACTCGAAGGTCTGATCCACAAGGTAGTGGAGCAACGTAAGGAGATGCAGTCCCATGGTAGCCGGTGACCAACCATTGATTCATACGCCATTTGTTCCTTCAGGATCCTGGAGCCCATGTGTACCAATGGTTTGGAATCAGGGTTTTCTAACTCCCCTAGGTGGAGTCTTTATGTCCACCAACCCGGTTAGAGCTCCGGACATTCGCTTTTGGTCTTCAATTTCGTAAACAACATCCTCACCACAAGAAAACAGTGAGTAGAACGTTAGTAACCACTAGTTACCGATTTAGGCCAAAATAACCTGTTTCGCTGTGAACTAGTTGTGGATTTTTATGGCCGTTGAATCAGCTATGTATTTTAAAACGATTCGTAAACCATACGACATAAGAATTCGTTCCTCAAACTATCGATCAGGAAGATCATATAAGTATCTCGCACTTTCATACTATTCAGACGTTAAATGATGTGTTCATTTACTTGAAATACAATAATAATAATAATAAAGCACGCCATGAATATTAATACGAATAGTATGCATAAAACTAAAGAATTTGTGGTAAACAATCGAGCAGTATGTCAGTAGCTAGATTGCTGTAACTTACGGATGGCAAATTCATTGTCATGGTTAATAATATCGAACAAAAGTTTAGATTTAGGATCATACAGAAATCAGTTGCTTGATGAATGGATACATGTTACAAAATCACTAGAAAATAGCTTCTCAGGGTCTATACTTTTAAATGTTCACCTCTCGGCCACCCCCATTGTAGAAAAATTAGTTGTATGACCATGCCTAAGAGTTGATCCATGATCAATCTAATTTGCATCGAGTTTTTCGTAATTTTAGTTTAGAATTAGCCATTGTCCTTTGTATTTATAAAGCATCATTTTAAACATTATTCAGTATCACTCAATTAAACTAGCATAAAATACTGTCAAATATTTGTTTAGCTTTCATTTTACTGTTGGCACAGTTCCCATTAACTTAAGTTTGATGTCGCTTATCAGTTACAATTAGTTACTTGGTATATTTTGGTGTTCTTTAATTCGATTTGACCTCCACTTTAAATTAATTTAAACTTGCTAGCCACTAGCAAATGTTTCAAGTATAAACTCTGCAATTTGTTTTACAGGATGCTGAAAATAGGTGTTCATCCGAATACTATCGGAGTAATCACACCTTATGAGGGACAACGTGCATACTTAGCACATTATCTTCATTATTCTGGTTCCTTAAATGCCAAATTGTACCAAGAAATCGAAATCGCTAGCGTGGATGCCTTCCAGGGGCGAGAAAAGGATTATATCATCTTGTCGTGTGTCCGAGCAAATGAAAACCAAGGTATTGGTTTCCTCAATGATCCACGCCGTTTGAATGTTGCTCTCACCCGTGCTCGTTACGGATTAATAGTAGTTGGAAATCCAAAGGCTTTGTGCAAGGTGATGCTTTTATTTTTTGCAGTGTATCAAGAGCATATTGAATTTATCTTGATAATTGGTGTTTTAGACTAGACCATTCATTGTCCTAGTGGATAATATACATTGCAGGATTTACTTTTTAAGAAAATACACAAATCCTACAATTTTCGCACATCAACTTTAAATCATTTGTACATAAGTCTGAAATCCTGCAGGCAATTTAACGTACGAGTATGTGATTCATTAAACTTTATTATTGTAACATTCACCGTATGGTAGAATTCATTCGCAGTGCAAAAGTTAACTTCGTATGAATCCTTATCTTTCATTCTGACATGAATATTTTACTTTTCAGCAACCACTTTGGAACCAGCTGTTACACTTTTATCGTGATCAGCATTTACTCGTGGAGGGACCCTTAAACAATCTAGGTGAATACATGTTACAGTTTCCTAGACCCAAAGTTCCGTACACTTTCAAACCTGGTGGGCATTATCTAGCACAGCTATCCGCAAATCCCGCATTATTAAATAGCAGTCAGTTAAATGGGCAATTGAATACACACCCCGGAAATCAATTTAATTATCTTTCTCATGTCTCAAATCCGTCTCAACCATGTTTTGATAATCCTAATGGACCAACAGCCTTAGTAGCAGCTATGGCGGCAGCAGCTGCTGCGGCTTACTTTGGAGGATCTGGTTCGAATACACGCCCGAATGTCTCGACCTTAGGATTACATGGGTCGTCAGCACTCAACCAACCTGGAGCAAGCCATGCTGCGGCTTATGCTGTTGCGGCTGCTGCAGCTGCTCAACATCAATCAAGTCAACCGTATTCTAGTCAAACAAATGGTAGTTCCCATAGTATGCATCAACTATTAAACCAGTCATTATTTGACCAGGTTGGGTATATAGGACCAAATCGACAATATGCAGAAGCCAACGCCAGTTCAAGTAAGTAATTCATTGAGTAATATATATACATCACCTCAGTTTCCTGTCGATTGCAAATAGAAGTTCAAGTGAAATATTTTTCGACGATTTTACTGATATGAAGACAACCAGTAAAGTGCAAAGTTTCCTATGGAGTCCTCTGTATTCATAACTGTTTTATGTGATTTTCTGAAGTTTATTGTGAGGATTCTAGTGGTGGTGATGGCACTCAAGACGCATTTCAACAAGCTTGATATGGCCATCGAGACCTGTTCTTCATATAGGTTTACACTTAACAATCTTTAGACATTAAATATATGTAGGCTGTTTTATAATTTTTATTCGTAAAACACTAATCCAATAGTTATCTGACTGTTATAATTTCTCTTCATATCTTTTGAAATTCACTTGATATTTCACATTATTTTTTGATGATTACCTAGCCTACATTTCAAGTTTTCCAAGAAATATATACTCTCTCAACGACAGCGTGATGTAAACTCGTATATACGAGGTCATGCATAATTAAGGACGTGTTTATCGTTCATATACTCGTTGAATTGTTGGCACTACACAAGAGGTTAAAATCCACAAATTTTAGTTACAAGTGTTAAAGTTTCAAAAACTGGCCCATTGTAAGGGTGACATCAAAGTGTTCTTATAAGATAGTTCCTGACAAAGTTTGTCACTACCTCATTCTACTGTTGACTTCTTTTACCACTCGTTTTATCTAGATCTTCCTATGCCACTCAGCATGTTGATGCCTGCTGGTCGAATATCGAATCCCACCAACGCGGCAAATCCGTTCGCCTCTTCCGGTCATTTTGGCAATGGAAAATATGGCACCAACCTTGGGGCAACTGCGCCACTTGGTAGATCGATACAAGCTTTGGGTCCACTAAACGTGCATCCCAACTACTCACAATTAAATACGGGAAGTACAAGAGCACCCGGCGGTCCTCTTCCTGGAAATAATGTGGTTGGTTCTGCAGCTCCTCGGTATCTTGGAAATGCACGTCGAAATTTACAAGCTGGTTCACAAAATGCTTCGGTTGGTGCCTCAAAGTCACGTCAAATTGATGGGCCCAATAGTCTGACCAACATTTCTGTGGAACGTGGTAATACTAATACTTCCAACTCAGGTGCTGGTTTGCTTTCTCAGCCTGGCTTGTCAGAATTTTCTGGAACTCAAGGCACATCTGGTCTTAGTAACATGGGTGTATTCAGTAGTCAGTCGCGTAATTCAGGACTTTCCGGTTTATCTCAGGTAGTCTAATCTTTGATACTCACATTAGGTTTTACCGATATACATGGTTGTTAGTCATAAGGATATTTGTTTGGTAGATCTTTGTGAATAGTTACGTATATCTCCTAGCTTTGATTTCCTGTTCACTTACAGGACAAGTTAGTAAGTTGTTTTTGATGGGTTATTTCCTTAACCCCAATGCAAACCTTCGTAATTTTTTGTTGAGAAAATATCTTAGGTATCCAAATTTGTTAACGCTTTTGCGCAGTGCATTTGCGCCTTTAATATTTTGTATCAGTTCACTATCAATCCATGCCCGTTTCTCGGTTCCCTTAGGGGTATTCATTGTCCATATCCGGACAGAATTTCTACTATTCACTTATTGATGCTAGTTTATTACAAATTCACTTATTATACTGACTAATCACCGACGGGTAAAACATAAAAGCCTTAAAACAATTCCACTCTAATTTATGTTTCTAGGAGAGCACTTCGTTGGACTTTCGTCTTGGTCAGGGTGCCAGTCAAATGGACAACTTGCTTCTTTCTCAAGATTCTACATTTCAAGGTGCAACTGTACCTGCGAGCAAAGTGAATTCACAAAGGGGATCAAATTTGTTTGCTACCGGAAGCGAAGATCATACCAACATAAATTTCGATTCTGGTCTGGTTAATGGGACCGATCTAGAAAATATTGGTGTCTCTCAAAACGCAGTCAGCTGTGCGAGCAGTGGTGCACCGCTCTCGCAGTTTTAGGGATCTCATCCGGCTTAACTTTGGGCCGCGTATCAATGATCATCAACGAACGTATAGTTTCTCAAGGGTGTCTGTCTACAGACATCTGCAGCGACGACGGAATAAATCGATTATTCGGAGTGCATCACTTGGAAGTACAAAAAATTTAAAAACCAACATGCACTCCGAAGGTTGCACTACTTGTTTTTAACTCATGACTATACTAATTCGTATTAATATTTGGTTACAAGGTGTTTACTTTCGTTATAAACCCTTCAATATACAAAGCTTTTATTCTACTAATAGCCTCGTTTCCTTTCAACTTCAAAAGAGGAACAATGTGATGGCGTTTGTAGCTTCTATTTAAGACTAGAATGTTTTGTCGGTTCGTACAACGCGTTGTTCCAACCCCGTCCTCCTGTAGTTCGAACGCATTTTCAGATATAAATTCTTCATTTCTTCGAAAAATTGAGGGTCTTGTAGGCTGAAATCATGAAAATTTTTTATTTTCTCTTACTATCTTTTGTTGCACTCCAAAGCCTTATGAAAGTCCGTCTTGCAAATGTACATTGCTGCCCAGTAGTATTTTTGTGAACAGTTTGACCATTCTGAAAATATGGAATGTTCAGTAGTGAATAATGCTTACCATCCCAAAGCTCCGCGCATTGTTTCGTTCTCAATCTGTCTTGCATAAGCGCCGGTATAATGCTCTCCTCTTCAACCTTCGTGATTTCTTTACTTTCAGGGTCACCTGCAGAAGCATTGAAGTGTCAAAGTTTCAGCAACTAGCTCAACATTCGAAATTGCAACTAGGATACAGTAATCGCTAATGTATAGTGTGACCGCTTGATTAGCAAAGTTGGAGTTAAACTTAGACTAATAAGTAATGATTGCAACTCAATTGGAGGGATAATTTAATCGAGTAGATTTGTTTCGTTAGAGATGAATAAAACGAGAACAGCCGAACCTTGGATTTACCGACTGTAGATCGGAACTATGGATAAAAATGAGTGTTTCGGTAGAAGGGTGATACGTTCGAAGATCGGTTCTTATGCTTCAATACATGTTTTTTAGGTCTTAAATATTGTGTTGCTCTGGTTGACTTCATATTAACCATTGAGGATTTCCTCGTTGTTTTGAATCATGTGTCTCATCTTAGTTTTTAAATCGGATATGCCCACACTTGTTACGCACCAGTGATAAATCGCACAAATGTAATCTTGTGTATGAATTTTATTTTCGACTTACCTAGGCCCAATGGGCCGCTTATTTCTTCTGACGGGATCAAGGTAAATTCTACACTTTGACGTTTGGAGAAAAAGGTACCCATTTCCAGCAGTCGTCTGTTGTTTTACTTCCTGAAAACTGGGATATAAAGCAGCTATGATTCGAAACTGCAGCAGTTTGTTATCATCAAATCTATCGGAAATAGACAAACACATTAAAAACTTCAGCAGCTTTTAGAAGCGGTAGATGTTAAGTGTTTTTGCATGCAAGTATGGACCCAGGGTTAGTGCGCTTGCACAAGTCACTCAGGAGAGTTGCAATCTCTAACAAGATTCATATTTTACCTGAGGTCTCCAACTTGGTCACATGGTTTAACAATGACGCAAGTGAACAAACTTTTCGTGTGAATATTAGAAATTACGAGGCTGGTGGGTGCCTTTTTATACCAATGTGTAGCCTATGGTTCTTATGGATGGATGGTGTGGTTTGATTATGGGGAAATCTGGCTACACTACTGTAAAACACCTGGTAAGGTGCCGCATATTAAACTTTTTCTCAAGGCGGAAAATCTGCAAATTGCTGGATCTCTGTATAGGCGGGACAAAATTTTTTCTGTAGTTCGCCGATAAAAGGCAAGGATAGATCTCAAGTGTTTCCATGGAACCCAGCACTTATTGGAGTACTGCAGTTGTCCGTTACAAGTCCTCTACTTTTTATACATTAAGACCGCAGCCCAATCCTGTGCATTTTAAGAGGGACATCTATTAAATTGAGTGTTTACGAGAATGTGCACAACCCTATTACACTGAGCAGCCAACTTGGTTCTCGGCTTAGTCCCTCATCGGGAGGAGGGTCATGAGTGAAGACCATCCCGAGGTAAGTAACCACGGCATCTGCCTAGTCTTCCTTTACACTTGAGATGCACTCCCTTTATTTAATTGGGAACCCGTGGGTATGTTCTTGTCCTTTGTATAATGTATGAGGATAATCGTCTCAACTATCTGGTCACAGGTTGTGGCAATTTGCTTTCAGATTTCCGCTGGGCTGCACGGACTGTGTTAGTACACTTACCTCAGCTTCACTTGTAACGCTCCGACAATTTTGCATTTGTCTTAGTAAATGTCGGACCTGACGGTCTAACTGCGAGCGGTTGTTTCTTTAATTTTTTGGGAATGTCCCTTTGATGCATCTGATTCGATTTTCTCATGGGTCGAGGCCACACAGTTCATCGTATTTATGCTTGAAAAACCACAGCAGCAATGAACCTGACTAGGACAACCGCATGACCACTCCTTCTTATAGGTGAAAAGTACTAACATCATCATCGTGAGTCAGAAATAAATCCAGGACAGAGTGCTTCAGAACATATCTAGTGAGACTAAAGCAAGGGCAATTGGAGTTTCTATCAATTTTTTATCGATGTTTTCAATGACATTATGCAGTGGTAAGGGGCATTGAAGTCGCCTGCTATAAGACCTCGGCAATCGGTTTGATCATGATGTATGTATGTACATTGGTTCAAGTTGCCACACCCGTTAGCACACTAAGATGAAATTGTCTAGCAGAATCCCAAAATAGTAGAAGTAGTAACAGAAAACACTAGCCATCGAATAAACAACTTGAAAAGAAAATATTAATCAGTGGAAAGCATTGTGAGGAGTTTACAATCTCAGGATTTACGAGAAGGGAAAATATGGGTGTACCTGCCCTATTACGAACGATTTTTAGCCATAAAATTCAGTCTCTAATCACTGGTTACAATAGTAGCACAGAACCCAACCAAGTAGTCTATATCTAATAACATGGTCAAGTCCAACTCACAGTGGCTTTATGGACTGATGTCACGTTATGGTTTGGCCGCCCCAAACTTCCTTCCATACTAATCCTGCAGTACGAAACATCGCCCGTCAAGGTAGATGGTGGTTGGGCATACGTAGCACATGCACCCTCTGTGTATCTGGTGGCCCGATGACCGGTTCTTGTGAACTGGCAGGTGTGGGCATAGCACTAAGCATGAGGGCGAAACAAACAGTGGATCCCCGTTAACAGTCGTTTATGTGCTGTTGGGCTAAATGGGTCAGTAAGAACTCGGAAGGATAGGGACACACGTCGTTTCTGCCCACGCTCCCACTGACTGCAGCTCGGATTAAGTGAAAGAATTTTACAGAAAGCTCTCTGGACTTCTTCAGAAAGCTAAACGGTCATACATAGTACTCGTAGCAGGTAACTTTAATGCCCAGATAGGTAATTTAAGCTAAACAGAAAGGCATTTAGGTGGGGATTTTAGTATTCCGGCACAACGAATTGATAATTGTGATCGTCTGCTGCAACTGTGCTCAGACAATCGTTTATTTTTAGCAAACACAAATTTTAAGCATAAGGAGAGACACCGTCTAACATGGAGACCCCCTACACCAAACCAACGATGAACTCAAATAGACGACGCATCTGCTTGCGCCTTACTGGACGCAAAGAAGCCACAGTAAAAAGACCCATTAGAACTGAATTGAGTTACCAGAAAACCAAAAGTAGGTTCCAGGAACAACTGAGGTCACACTTAGGTAGTTCTGAAAACGAGGCTGGCCCAGATGTTGCCTGGAAAAATATACAAGCAGCTGCGGAAGCAGCAGTGACATTTATTAGTGATCTAATCTACATAAAACCAATGGATTGCTTCAAGATCTTTTGTACTGATGGATTCTCGTAAACTCATCCCATCAGGTTCTGCACACGAATGAAGAGCGTAAACAACTCGGATCTAGGTTGAGCAAAAGTCTAAGGAACGGTCGTGAGCAGTGGTGGGCAACGAAAGCAAAAGAGATGGAAAAGGCGGCTATAGGGAACACCAGACAGCTCTACAGACTAATAAAAGAAACGAATTAATAAGTCAAGTGTAAGTCAGACTATTTCGGAAAAAGACGACACTCATCTGCTCCCAGTCCAGACGTTTAGAACGATGGGCGGAACATTTTAGAGGACATCTATGATCGAATACTAGTAACGTAGGAATATCCCCTACCTTTGGTTGTCATATTTCACATCCACAAAGTAGTACGGAGGGAACTAATGTGCAGTAAACCCACCTTTTGTCTGGAAAACAGATATCTCGCTTACATCACAAGTGACGCAAGTTGGCGAAAGCCAATGGAGCCCATTATTATTTTATTTTAATTTATAGATATTGGTACAAGGAGGCACCAAGTACATATGCGCCACACAGATCCCATTTGATATGTGTGAGAGCTGTGATACTGCCCGGGTGCTCAAACCGAAGTAAGTGGTTTTCTTAGGAAGCCACACCCGGAGCCTTCGACTCGAAGGTCTGATCCACAAGGTAGTGGAGCAACGTAAGGAGATGCAGTCCCATGGTAGCCGGTGACCAACCATTGATTCATACGCCATTTGTTCCTTCAGGATCCTGGAGCCCATGTGTACCAATGGTTTGGAATTAGGGTTTTCTAACTCCCCTAGGAGGAGTCTCTATGTCCACCAACCCGATTAAAGCGCCGGACATTCGCTTTTTGTCCTCTCAATTTCGTAAACAACACCCCCGCCACGAGAAGGCAGTGAGTAGGACTTCCCTGGCAGAAGCTATATACGTGTGGCCATGTGAGAGCATTTCGAGAGGGAGAGCGGACTCTCTCCACTGGGGGCCAATGGAGCCTACTGAATCCATGCTGAGATTTCGTCAGACACCAGATTGTCAGGACTGATCAGACCACCGACATCAGTTAAGTGTTCCACTACTTCATTCCCTATCGCTAATTCAGGTGGTGATGTAAACCAACCCCGAAGTGACATTTTATATTTGGAGAGGGACGCACGCAATCATGCTTGGATTGCCGTTTAAGATTTGCATTTTGTCAGCGTTTTCACAAAACATAACTATATCATCTGCGCACTCCAAGTCAAAAATTAAATCTCGTGGTAGAAGATCAAGCCCTGGAAAGTAACACGATGAAAGTGCGATCTATGAATGCATGTCTATGACAGCGTTAAATAAAAATGAAGAGGATAACCTTGAAGTAACCAGTTCCGATGACAGTTCGCCAATAAGCTCTGGCTCGACCAGTAGTGTTTGAATAGGGTGTCTGCACAAGGTTAATGTACTTCTTGAGTACACCTTTCAATACCAGACACTGCCACAGAACCTCATGATCAACGGTGTAGAACGCCGCCTTTAGGTCAATGAATATAGTTTGCCATTCAAGTTGCTTGGAGATAGTGGGTAACTGAAATATAACTGAAACCCAGCTGAACTGTTCCCTAGAGTTCTGCCCATTGGCTGATTGAGAGTGAAAAATGGTCCCTCCTTTTTCCAAGATAGTTTCACTAACAGCCGGATTTTTAATACCCGTTTCTTTGATAAGTCTTAACAGTTGTTTACTGTTACCTACTGCTGCTGTGTTCTTCATCTCTTCTGCTTTCGCTAACCACTACTGCTCACGATCATTGCGTAGGCATTTTATCAGCTTACGTTTTAGCTGCCTTCGCTCCTGATCATGCTCAGAGCAAGACAGGATGAGTTTCCGAGCATTTAACGGTTCTGTATACGCCACTGAAATCCACTGATTCTTCCTAACCTTTTGGTTTAAGTTACTGGCAGATATCACTTCTGTTTTTATAACCTTTTGGATATCATACGGAGCTATTTCGAAGTAAATATCATTTTCACGGTTGACGAGTTCTTTCTTTAGTTGTTCCTAAAATACATCTTTTTTCATCGTTAAGTTGAACTCTAGAAGATTTTCTAGCTGTGGCTGTTTGATATCCAGTAAGACGCCGACAAATAGTGCTCCAGTTAGAGCATGATTCGAGTTTCAACACGTGTTCCAGAATGAGTGACAGTCTACAATCGAGCCTCTCCAATGGTGGCTAGTGAAGGTGTGGTCAGTTTGAGTTAATCGATGGGTTGATTATGGAGATTGCCACGTCAGATTATGTTTCTCCTTATGTGTAACGTTGGTATTTGCCAGAAATATTTATTTGTTTATTTGAACATAATAACAATCAGAATATGAAGAGATAGAGAATGTAAGGTGCGTATGAGAAAAAAGGGGACACTAACGAACAGAAATTAGCGTATGATAGTGAAATGATAAT